GGGGAGGCAGCGCCGCCGGCGGGGGCGGGCGGCCGCGCGCCGGGCGGCTGGGGCAAGTGGGTGCGGCTCAACGTGGGGGGCACGGTGTTCCTGACCACCCGGCAGACGCTGTGCCGGGAGCAGAAGTCCTTCCTCAGCCGCCTGTGCCAGGGGGAAGAGCTGCAGTCGGACCGGGTGAGGCCCGCGCGGGGGGCGGCCGTCGGGCGGGGTCCTCTGCCCGCCCGAATCCGGGCCGGCCTGGCCGGGAACTCGGCTGCTTTGATTTCCCCAGGGCCCGAGGCAGGAAGAGCTGGTCGGAGGAAGGGAGGAGGGAGAGCGCGGGATGTGCCCATTGTCGTGGCAACGGGACAACGCCGGGCCGCGGCCATTTAGGGCATTCGGACCACCGCCCTGGGCTCCCACCCCAGGAGGCTGGTGGATCGGGACCCTCGCCCTCCTTTGGGGCCTTCCCTCCTTCCCAAACGGGACTCCCGCACCGGGGAAGGAGTTGGCTGCGGTGGCTTCCCCACGGCCCTTTGCGGTGTGGGTGGCCTAGGAGTGCTGCGCGCTGGGTAGAGAAGTCCTGGGGTGCCTTCCGAGCTGGGTTTCATCAGGGAGGAGCCCGGGCCTGTCGGCCACCATTTCTGGGCTCCCATCCCTGCTCTGCTGCAAACTGCCTGCATGACCTTGGGTCGGACCCCTCCCTCCCTGCTCCAGGATCAGCCTCCTCCTGTCTGTAACCAGAGGAGGCTGGTCTGCAGGTGACCTGAAGGGCCCCCTCTCCCTCATTCCCTGACCCTCTGATGCTGTGACCTTGGGCAAGTCTCCTCACCCTTTGACGTGCCTGCCGTCTCTCCGTAGAGTTGTCCAGATGCCCGCCCTGCCTCCCTGCGGGCCGAGCCTGTCCAATGAGATAGCGACTCCTTTGGAAACTTGTAAACATCCAGCATCCCCAGAATGGCTGGGGATCTGATGGAGATAGTGTAGGGCTGGCTTCAGGGGAACAACCTCTAAGAGGGACAATCACCGAGCCCTACTCTGCGGCAGGTGCCGCTCAGAGCTCACCGGATGCTCGCCATGACCCCTGGTTATGGGGGAGCGGAGTGAGGCTCGGAGAGGCCCAGTCACTGGCCCCAGGTCACATAGTGAGGAAATGGCAGAAGCAGGACTTGAACCTACGCGGGTCTGACAGCGAAGCCTTTCTGTCCCATCATGCCACTTCATTCCAGTGAAGAGCAGACTCAGCGCTTGCTCCCTCCCTCCAACCATTGCTGGGCCTGAAGTAAGGGGGTGGGTTGGGGGAGGCCTCTCCTCTCACTGCCTGTGCCCCTTATCTCCTTAGGATGAGACTGGGGCCTACCTCATTGACCGTGACCCCACCTACTTTGGGCCCATCCTGAACTTCCTCCGGCATGGCAAGCTGGTGCTGGACAAGGACATGGCCGAGGAGGGTGAGTTGGTCCAGGGGGCTAGGCGGGGGACTGCATCCTACCTAGCCCTGCCCTCTGCAGTCGGCCAGAGCCTTCCGTGGAAGTCCAAAGCCATTTCTCCCAGTCAGGGCTGGGGGGACATTTGATTCCTTCCATGTTTCCCACCTCCTCGTCCCTGACAAGACTGAGTCGCAAAGCCTCTGCCTGGACTGAGCCTGGGGGCTGCACCAAGCTGACCAGCCTGAGCTTTGGCCGAGCGCTGTTGGGGAGGTGACGGAGGCGGAGAGGCAGAAGACAGAGGGCGACAGTGAGGCCGGCAGTGTGTGTTGTGGGCAGGGATGCCCTTTCTCCTGACCTCCTGGGAAGGCAGGTGTGAATAGGGTGGAGACAGGCACGGGAGGAGGCATGGGCTCTCTTTCTGCGGGTGATCCGGTATCTGAGATGCCTGGCAAGGGCTGACAGTCAGCAGGCGGGTGGAGCAGGTGACTCTTCTGCAAATCCAGCGGCCTCTGTGGCACAGCCGGTTGTGGGTGGAGGTGGGGGAGGGGGAGCCGGTTCCCCAGCAGGGGTTTGGTTCTTCCGGGGGGGCCTAGGGCTGAGGCCCTGTAGATGCCCATGTCTGGCTCCAGCAGATGGCGGGGAAGCCATGCCCGAGAGAATATCCTCTTGGCAAAGCCTCAGCCGGGGGGCAACAACTATAAACAGCTCCAAGTCAACTCTTCCTTGGGGCACAAGGCGTGGCTCCGGGTCAGCTGACGCAGCCGGGCCAGCTTGGACATGTCACTTCTCCTTTCTGAGCCTCCACATGTCTATATCAATTAGGGGTAGCGATCTACATCGGGGAGAGCATGTTTGGGGACAGCAGGTGTCATGAATCCCAGTGTTTGTACACTGTGGGTGTTTAGAACAGCCTATCCTTCCTCACGCGGGGCCAACGGTCTCCCCCGCTGACCCCCATGGGACATGGTGATCTAAAGGCCACGTAGCTCCCCAGTGGTCTGGGGTTTCAAACTCGGAGCCCACGGTAGGCACCAGCCCCTCGGCTTTCGGGCAGCCCCTCAGGGGAGCACAGGTACCCGGGCACGGCTGGGGCCCAGGAACAGGCCCCGCGGGGAGGGGACGTAAACACTGCGTCACCGCCGACATCTGTTTACAGGTGCTGGGTTTCTGCCAGTTCTGCTACTCCCTGCACCTGAGACAGGGCTGGGGCCCCCATCGAGGGCCCCGGAGGATCTGGGACGAGATTTTTCTAGCTGTGGGACACCCGGAAAGTCGCTTATCTCTCTGTGCCTCCATGCCCGCGTCTGTGGAGCGGGGTGGCGAGAGCACCCGCCTTCCTGAGCTGCTGTGAGGGCGGAGGGAAGTAATACAAGTATGTCCTTTAGTGCAGCACCTGGCACCAAGGGTCACTGATGCCGTGTTCGTCATCTGTCATGGGCAGGGCTCCCCAAGGCGCACTCAGGCAGCAACACTCGCGGGCCGCCTACTTGGTATTAGGTGCCGTGTAGGTAACCTGGGACAGAGGCTAGATCAGACACGGCCCGGTCCTCAGGGAGCCCGGAGGCCAGTCAAGGAAAGAACCAGGGGGATCCTTGCCCTGTAGGCACTCAGGAGACTCCAAAGGCCTGGGGCCATTCCACTTGTCGGTGAGACTCTCAGTTCCCTCAGCTGTGTGGGGACAATAATGCCTGCTTCCCCGTGTCCCCAGGGCTCTTGCTGAGTGCCTGAGGGGGCTTTGTAAAGGGTGTGGTGGTCGGGACGGACGTGTACAAAGATGATGCATCTGTAGTGGGTTCTGAAGTCAGAGGAACTTGGATTTGGATCCCAGCTCTGCCGCTTACCGGCGGTAGAGCCTGGGGCAGCTGCTTCTCTTTCTGGGCCTCAGTTTCCCCCATCGTTCAGTGGGGGCAATGACCGTACCTACTTCTAGTGCTAAGAATTAACTGCAGTAGAGAACGTAACGTGCTTAGCACAGTAGCTGGCACTTAGCCGCGCTTCATCGATGGGAGTGTGTGATGGGGGGGG